TTCATATCCAGTCACATGGGCGGCAAGCCACTCCCATCCAGTCACATGAGCAACAAGCCACTCCCACAAAGGAGGCCACACCCACAGAGTAGGTTCGAACAATTTTTGAAACCCACCACTGTAGATGAGGTGCTCAGCTTTTAGATGAGGTGCTCAGCTCAAGTATCAAGGAGAGAAGTTGGCTCCCACAGTTGTAACTGGAAACAATTACAGAAAGTACTTGTTCTCTCTGTTGTTCTACCAACTTACTATGCTTACCATAAGTTCAAGAGAGCCGTCAGCAAGGCTACTGCCACCCTGTGAGCGATCTGTCAGCACTGTTAGCTGGGTCTTTTGGTCCTGAAATGGGGAAAAAAGGCAAAAAGGTTGCATGGTTCCATGCATGGACAAACCCCACTCTACAGAGATGCTGCAGAATTACAGGTGATCCCATCATTGAAGGATTCAACCTACATAAGACAAAAACCTACCCATATTATTCCATTATTATGCTTGTATGGTCAGATAGTCCTATAGGGAGACCAAGAACAAGCAACGCTGCCAGGAACCATGGGATATTATTACCTTGATGTAGATACGAGTATTCACAGGGTAGTAGTTGCCTGCCACTGGCTCCGTCTGGCTCAGATTCCATGTGGCCCTGTAATCACGCCTTCTCGGGGAATGAAAGAGAGCAAATTAACTTCCCGATTTCCTTCATCTGGCTGAACTTTGCAAAAATCAAGGTGCACCCCCCTCCCCAGCTTTTATGAATGGAAGTGAGAGACAGTGAGGAAGATCACAGCAAAATGAACAAAAAGGGGGCTTAATGAGGCCATGATTGGTATTTTAGCTCCTACAAATTATCTTTGCAATTTTAGTTTGGCTTGTTGGATACATTCAGCCATTGTTATGAGCCTTGCCAGGCCTAGGTGCTCTCCCCACCCATGGATTTCAACTTGTATAGGTTCATTGCTGAGAATTGGGAGAGTTGAAGTCCAGAGACCCAAAGGGTATCCAGAATGGAAAGCTACATTGCTCATACAGAATTGGACAGTAAATAAAGAAACAGTGATTTATAATATTTTGCTTAGGGTTACTGAATATGTTGTGGCCAAGCATTTCAAAACCAGAAATGTCTAGGTAACAGTTTGCACAATAAGTCACTGTATAGCTCTGGCTGCAGGTCAAAGAACTGATGAATCTTCCAGTTCCTAACCCCATACCTTCTCTCCAGGATCTCACGCCCATTGGAGTCTGTGTAAAAATGGCCTCCAGTCTGCAGATTTGTCTCAAAGCGGCTGATTATCTCCTTGCCATACTGATCCCTAGGGTAAAGCATGGAAGCCAGAATCTTGTGGTAAAGGTCAACAAAGCTCTCCACCCTCCCAACCATGTTCTGATACTTACTGTATAGGAATGGGTCCCACTGTCCATTCCAGTTCAACATATGGCTGCCCAGCATAGAGGCGCACCACTTGGGAACACCAATTAGAGAAGTTCTGATACAGCTCTTGCACCACTTGAGTCTGCCAAAGAGAGACATAAGACTGCTATGATTCTCACTTGGCTTCAAAAGTATGGCTTCCCTTTTGGCAGTAGAAAGGCCCAAATGAGTTGAGAGCAGCTTCACACACAAAGAAATACTAGGCTTATTAAAGAGTGCTTACGGTTCCTTTAAACTCAAAGGCTTCAAATCATACAACAGATGCCACCTTCTGGCAATGAGAGGAGCTTTAAGAAAATATTTTAATAAGAAATCAGATTACTACTGTTAGACGCCTCAGCTCCTGAAAAATGAAAATTCTCCTTTCCGACTAATTAAAAAACAAAAGCTGGTTTTATATTAAGCTTTGGTGAACTCAATTCCTCCAGCAGAGGTGGCATTTGTTGGAAATGATAAAAGCATCAAAGGCCAAAAGCTCCCTCTGTGAGGGAGATGAGCAGTTCTTAAATATGAAAAAGAAATAAAAAATAAAAGCAATTCCCACAAGACTCCACTCATAAAAATGGACCCAGGCACAGCAAAAATTTAACCTCTCTTTTTTAAAACCTATAATATCGGGGCTAGCAACCCTTTGCCTGCCAAAAAGTACATTCTTTCAAGTGAAAACTCTTGAGAGCCCCACTCTGTCAAGAGGGGCAAATGAGACATCGGCCATTTTCCTTCTGGCATCCCCTTTTTCTCTTCTTAACATCTTGAGGTAGGACCGCACTGAGTGCTGATCAGATTAGACTGCAGATGGTGCAAAAATCAACAAAAGGCTCTCTAATGTAAACAAGCATACATCTGTGTTCAAATCCCTCCAAATTATAGTATTGCAGTATTGGCAAATTATAGTATTGCCCTGCCTATAAAATGTTTCTGCCATCCCTTCAGTCTATGACAAATATTACTTTAGATTCTCAAACAAGGTAGCTTTTGCAGGAGCAACGGTACGGCAATCCTTGCAAAGCTTTAGCATGAAGAAGCCAAGTTTTGCTTACAGAATATGATGCCTACCGGTTTATGTTGTGTTATTTAGCTTATTAGGAACTCAGGTTAGCAAATTAATATTAGCAAATTGATATAGCTGCCTATCTCCCAGAATCTGGCTTATGAAATCTGGCTTTATGGAATATAGTTTGAAAATAGCAAATAATCCATTGGAGGCTATATGTTGAGAGTTATAAGTCTTTTATGACTGCCATCCCTGCTCTTCAGGGATGGGGAATCTAATTTATCTGGAGAAGTTGTTCTAGTAATTGTGCTCTTTCCACTAAGCAAGTAACTAGGTACTGTATATACTCAAGTATAAGCCTAGTTTTTCAGCCCACTTTTTGGGCTGAAAAAAGCCGCCTCGGCTTATCCTCGAGTCAGTGAAAAATTTGCCCGAAATGGAGGACAAAAAGG